GCAGAGTTACACTACAGAAGGTACACAACTTACATCCTACTCTTATTTAAGTACACTTAAAAGTACATTCACTTCCTTCTGGAGTAATATCTTACTCCTATATTCATATTTATCACGCACAAATTTGAGGTACATTTTATGCAGATAACTTATTTTTTTATTTTCTCCAACTTAAACACTAAATAATTTGAGAGCAGGCCCTCTATTCTACCCTATTTGATATTGGTTGGTTTTAAATATGCATCGGTGAGAAATTCATTCGCCGATGTCAAAGCTTTCTAATGTATCACAATTGGGATTTCGACCCAAAGTTATTCCATGATCTGTTTACATTTTTTGTTTTACAAAAAAATATTCCAAGTATTATGATATTAAACCCTTAACAAATTAATGTCTTACCTTAGATATGGCGGATTCAATGGGCCGTTCTAGTGGCAAGCCATGTCGTAGACATTTTCTTGGAAAATCACCAGATTCAAGATCATTCAGCTCGCCCATGCAGCTGATCAATCTACAAGAGGAAAGTGAAGAGACCAAAACTTCAAATGGAGTGGATAATACCGATGAGAGGCCAAAGACTTCAAGAGAGTCTAGCCTAGGCGATAAGGAAAAAAAAGGAATGGCAGAGAATGAGGTTTCGCAGAATAAGGAAGTGTACGAAGAGAGGAATTATGACGAAGCTTGCGAAGAATCATTGTGTAATAATGAGAGGGCAAGAACTGCCGGGGAACAAGCTTCAATTCGACTGGCTAGAAGCGGACCTGGCGGTCACATTCGGAACATAACGGATCAAAACAGGGGTGTCATCCAAGCGTCAGCATCATGGCCATCCCGGAGAATATCGTGCAAACATGAGATGCCGGCGCCCAGAGACCTCGAGGCTTGGATACTTCAGAGGTTTAGACGCGGCTATTTTCGTGTTGCTTCGGCTATGGAGGCGGCAGTTGCCTCAGCAAAAGAGGCATCTGGTCTGCATTCGGCATCGAATGGGAACAAGGCTGCAGAAGTTTTGGTGGGTTTCAGATATTGTCACTTTGAAACTGATGAGGTAAAGAGCGATAGGAGCTAAGTCTAACAGAAGCACGATCCAGTTTTTCTGGAAGTGTCGCTTTTAGACTTACAATTATAAGCATTAATAATCTTGATCGAAGATATGAAGACCAAGATGGTGTGGCCTTTTGTGTGGTCGCAGTCTACTTTCATTGTATAGAAGTTGTT